AAAATCTAGAGATTTCATAGATTGTTTTTAACACAAATGGTTAAGTACAGTGAATGGAAAATAAGGTGCCATATTCTAGCTCCTTGTCCTCAAACGTAGGGAGAAACTGGGGTCCAGTCTCTGTCCTCTGATTGCGTCTTCAGGGTCTCATGAGCGCAAGGACCGAGGAACACAGATAGGGGAGTGTGCCTGGCGCAGCCTGATGCTGTGGGTATCACAGAGCAGTTTCATCCTATTACTCCTGAGTGCACATGTCTAGTCTTTTCTTTAAAACCAGCCTCATGGAAATAAAATGTATACACTGAGGCTTGGCGCCTCAGTGCTTATAGCACCAGCCACATGCACCGAGTGTGGCAGGTTCAAGCCAGGCCAGGGCCAGCTAACCAATAATGACAACTGCAACAAAAAAAAATAGCCGGGTGTTGTGGCAGATGCCTATAGTCCCAGCTACTTGGGAGGCTGAGGCAAGAGAATCACTTGAGCTCATGAGTTTGAGGTTGCCATGAGCTGTGATGCCACAGCACTCTGCAGAGGGTGATATAGTGAGACTCTGCCTCAAATAAATAAATAAATAAATGCACACACTGCAAAATTCACTTACTGAAAGTGTTTCACAACTCAGTGATTTCAAAAATGCAAGTGTCCAGATGCCTGTGGCTCAAAGGAGTAGGACGCTGGCCCCATATACTGGAGGTGGCGGGTTCAAACCTGGCCCTGGCCAAACAAACAAACAAACAAAAAAATGCAGGTGTCCCAAAGGTCACTGTCCTTATATACATACATGCATGATGGAAATCGGAGATTATAGGTCAATGCACCTTTATTGATAAAATAAATGCTTACCACAAACTTTTCTAAAACATTTACAAAATATTTCTTTACATGTTGGTAACATAAATATAAAAATATGCAAAAGATAAAATAGTATACAGCATAAAATGTGAGTTTGTTAATTTTTCCTATTTGTGGCGACCCACGCCCTGTGTTCAGGGTAATTCGGCTGTCACCACAGTGGAATTTTGGACCACTTCTTCCACGCTCCAAAGAAGCCCTACAACTTGTTGTCGAGGTTTATATTATATATATAGGATTTCTGTCAACAGGAATTAGTTTGTTTTGCACCTGGCTGACAGGACGTCTGTTCTTGTGGGCAGTTTCCCACTTTTTCCCGTGGGGAGCATGTGCCATGTAGATATTGTGTAGATGGTCAGAAAAACTCTGTGTCCCCACTCCCCACTTTGGAGTTTAAATCCTATGCCCACCTGGCCTCTGAAAGGCTGGACCTGAGTGAGGACCTGGGATTTTCCACATTAAGAGCCAATCTCTAGGGAATGTTTTTGTAGCTTTTCTTTACACAGTCCCCTCGAGTGAAGATCTGTAAAGCTCCTACAGCCCCCCGGGTCCCCTCCTGTCCCTTCTTGAGGTGTACCTGGAGTCACCCTCATGTTCAGGCTGTGTTTATACCATGTTTCCCCCCAAATAAGACACTGTCTTATATTTATTTGTTCTCAAGAAGACACACTAGGGTTTATTTTCAGGGGATGTCTTACTTTTATTAAGTGTAATACAACAATCTACATTTATTCAAATACAGTTAAGTCATCTTCTTCTAGAACCTGACAGGGGGAGCCAATCTTGTGGGTGGGGCTGGCGCTAGTGATGCGTGAACTCCTTTCCCCTAGCTGTGCTTTCACACGTGCGCAATAGGATGCCTGGGACTGTGGTTACCACACACACACCAGCACAAGTGCAAATGTTTAGGAGAAAGGAGCTGTGGCAGATAAAAGGTATTCCAGTCTTTGTTACCACTCAACTTGGAAATGCATGGCTGGCTATGCAGATACATTGCACAGCCACGCCCATCAATCTGCATAGCCACGCCCATCACTAGGTCTTATAATCAGAGTAGGGCTTATATTTAACAAATGCATAGAAATCCTGCTAGGGCTTATATGGAGGGTAGGTCTTATCTTCAGGGAAACATGGTATTCTCCATACAGCAAATCCTGCTGCATAAATCTCCTTCCAGCTTGCCTACCCAACTTCAAGGTGAAGGCGAGTTCCAGCCAAGATGGAGTTGATTTCACACTTTGAACTCTCTCTTCACCCCAGGTGGACCCCACATTTTCATTATATGCAGACCTTCTCTTGGTCCAGGTAGAAATGACAAGAAGCCTACTAGATGTTACACACTCCTTTGACAGAAAAGCATGTACAAGAATCAGCAGCATTTTGGTGCACACCAGCCATGACCACTTAGAAAATGTAACAGAGAGGGTTGCAGGTCTTGGTGGGGCAGAAGGGACCAGACTTGCAGAGGGGCTCAGCACAGCCTTCCCAAGAAGCCTAAAGTATTACTGAAGGCCTTGGAAGAACGTGAAGATTGTGAATGGAACGCCTCTCGATATCATAAGGACAATCTCTCAGGCTTCCATTGTACATTCAGGGCAAATGGGATCAGGATGCCAAGGAGATTCTTACAGAACTGGACAAACGGGTTTAAAATTAGCACAAAAGAGTAGAAATATGCGCTCAGAGTGTACTCAGGGAATGACCTCTCCAGGACAGTGATGGGGCCGGGTATGGAGCAGGCTGTGTGCAGGACTCACTGTACACAGCTCTGGAAGAGTGAAGGGGATGGGTACAGAGCGTGCCGTGTGCCAGACTCACAGTACACAGCTCGGTCAGAGTGATGGGGCTGGGTGCAGAGCATGCCGTGTGCAGGACTCACCATACACAGCTCCGAGAGAGTGAAGGGGCCAGGTGCAGAACATGCTGTATGCAGGACTCACCATACACAGCTCTGGGAGAGTGATGGGGCCGGGTGCGGAGCGTGCCGTGTGCAGGATTCACCATACACAGCTCTGGGACAGTGCTGGGGCTGGGTGCAGAGAGTGCGGCATGCAGGACTCACTGTACACAGCTCCGAGAGAGCAATGGGGCCGGATGCAGAGTGTGCCATGTGCAGGACTCAGCGTACATAGACGTCGTGTGGACTCAGCCCAAACCCATCTATGGAACTGAATGGGGTAGCCAGAAAGGGGCTCAGAACCCAGAAAAGGGATGTGAGAAAACATTCAGATCCACAAACAAAGGATGGATGGCTCCATGATGCAAGGGGCCCTGAGGTCACTTGTGGAGAGGTTAGAATTCAATAAATAAAATAAATAAAACAATAACATAAGATAATATAAAATAGGATGAAATAAATATAGCACATTGACCACCCAAGGGACCAACAAACTGGTCAGCACACAGAGGTGGTCAACATGAGGAACGAGGCCCACTGTACTGATTCGTACAGGGGGTGCATGTCTGGTCTACAAAAATTAGGTCAATCTGAACAGGTGGTCAGTGCAGGGAGGTGGTCAGCTATGGAGGTTCTGCCCTATAAAAGGCTGGGGCCCGGAGATGCCATGTGAGAAATCTGGCTTGTAGCTTGGCACCGTAGTTCAGTGGTCAGGGCACTGGCCACATGCACATGGTTGAACCCGGCCTGGACCTGCTAAAACAACAATGGTAACAATAACAAAAAAATAGCCGGGCGTTGTGGCAGGCGCCTGTAGTCCCAGCTACTTGGGAAGCTGAGGAAAAAGAATCACTTAAGCCCAAGAGTTTGAGGTTGCTGTGAACTGTGATGCCACAGCACTCTACCAAGGGTGACATAATAAAACTCTGTCTCAAAAAAAGTGTAGATTTCATGGTAATGCCAGACAAAGAAAGGCTTCCTGTCCCAGGATGAACAGAAGAGAGGGAAAATTTTCTACATTGTGCTACTGCTACTAAGAATTTAGTGCAATTTAGAACAAGCCAATTAAAAAAGAAAAAAAAAGTAGTTGAATGAATTGTTCCTTTCTTGAATGTTCAATTTAATATTTTCAGATTGTAGTTAAAAATGAACTCGAACCCAGCCTCGGCTAAACTGCAATGAAAAATAGCCAGGCATTGTGGCAGGCGCCTGTAGTCCCAGCTAGTTGGGTGGCTGAGGCAAGAGAATCGCTTAAGCCCAAGAGTTTGAGGTTGCTGTGGGCTGTGATGCCACAGCACTGTACCGAGGGCAACATAGCAAGACTCTATCTCAAAAATAAATAAATAAATAAATAAATAAAATAAAAATAAAAATAGCAAGGCAATGTGGTGGGCACCTGTAGTCCCAGCTACTGGGGAGGCTGCAGTGAGAGAATTGCTTCAGCCCAAGAGTTTGAGGTTGCTGTGAGCTATGATGCCACAGCACTCTACGGAGGGCAACATAGTAAGACTCTGTCCCAAAAATAAATAAATAAATAAAAATAAAAATATCCAAGCGTTGTGATGGGTGCCTGTAGTCCCAGGCACTGGGGAGGCTGAGGTGAGAGAATCACTTGACCCCAAGAGTTCAAGGTTGCTGTGAGCTGTGATGCCATGGTACTCTACCTAGGGTGACATAGTGAGACTTTGTCTCAAAAAAAAAAAGAAAAGGAAATAGGATCTTTGTTAACGTAATTAGGTATAACCCAGGTGACATCTTGCTTTTGGACACCCAAGCCTCTCACCCAGAACTTAGAGAGAACTGTTCTTTCCAGCCACCTGGTCTTCCCTGATGTGTTGGGATAATCCAGAAATTAATATACCCCCCTACTGGTCCCCTATATCAGGGACACCAGGGGCTGTTCAATTCATGAGATGGTTAATCAATGGTAGTGATTGGAGAGCATGTTGGTTGGCCTCAGTCCTACGGCTGTTATTTTGAGGACACGGCCAGGCTATTTAGGGGTATGACACTTCAAGGGCAGGGAGGGTGGGCAGAGAGCCAGGGCGTAAGTCTCCACACACTTGTGATACCTTAATAAGGCTAATGGAACTTTCTAGCATCATCTGTCTTTGTTGTGCTCAGAGGCAGGTGGCGGGCAGCTTGGGGTGGCAGCTGGAGCTAGTGGCCAGCCCCCAGCTTGCTGGGACGCTTGGCTCTCTTAGAAGCAAGGACTCTTGGAGGTCCCCAAGGCTCGGCCGCTGTGAAGAGGATGGGCTCCCCTGAGGACCCTGCCTGGAGCCTCCTGAATGAGTATTGCCACGGCTTCATGGTGTCTCAGGTATGGGGTCCATGGCATGTGGACCAGGGAGATGGAGGCCCACTTCTTGCCCTCAGGTTCCCGGGGATGTGTCCACATCCACAGACCCAATCTCAGCAGGCTGTTCATTAAAGCTTAAAATAAGACAGGTAGGATTGCAAAACAGACAGGTGCGATCGAACCACAGCTATGGGCACAGTGGAAGCATTTTGCAGTCGAGTCATGCATGTGTTTGTTTATGGACGCGCCACATAACAGGGTGAGGTGTTTCAAACAGTGGTGAGTTGTGAAGGTGTGTCTGCAAGGTGCCACGGGGCATCACTTCTCACTGGATGACAGTGGGCTTCGGGGAGGAAGTCAGGCCCCAATCAATGGTCAGATATTGTGGAGCCCTTTACACGAAATGTCCAGAACAGGTGGCTCCTTGGAAAGTGGATTGGTGGTTTCCAGGAGCTGGGGAGGGGACGGGGAATCAGTGCTAATGGGGACAGGGAGTCTCTTCTTTTGGGGGGACAGATGTGCTCTGAAACTAGACAGAGGGTGTGGTCCCCTAGCGTTGTGCCGATGTGCCAGCTGAATCCTTCACTTTTAAATGGTGAGTGGTGAGTTTTGTGTTGTGTGCGTTTTCCTCTGAGAACAGAGACATATGTCAGAGTTCGTTTTTATTTCTTCAGAGATTTGGTAATGTTAGGTCTGTTGAATCAGGACCCTAACCGCTGGGGTGGCCCCTCACAAGCTGGGGAGGATGCTGTGTGGAATAGCACCTGCATTTTGAATCTCTGTCTGGTGGTCAGTGAGGACCTGAGCAGCTCCAAGCATCAGATATCTACCAAAACACGCAGGTGGCATTACAGCATCTGAAGCTTGCGTTAAGGGGTGGGCTTCTACCCTTGGAAGGTGGGATTTTATTTTATTTTTGAGGAAAACTTCAATTGTGAGAGCTCACACCTGCACCATTGGGGCAGACAGATGCCTGCAGGGTTGGCCACCCATGAGCCAGGCCAGAATTGCGAATGTCAGAGGTTTCTCCTCTTCATGGAGCCACGGGGTCCTGAGTTGCCACTGGGGTTTCTGTATACGTTCGTGGCTAAAGGGAGTGCTAAGTCTAGGGTGGAGGCCAGTGAAAATTAAAGTGAAATGCCCCCCCCACCGCCCCGTCTCAGTTCCTGAGTCCTCTGGATTCTACCCGCAGGCTCCCAACTGTTAGTAACAGACACGTGTTTGGGGCCAGTGTAATATGCACAAGGAGCATTTGTGTACAGAAACCACAGGAATTTGTTTCTAGTATATGTTTTTTCTGAACACACGTAGCCCAGTGGGGATGCCCAGTGCCGGTACGGCACTTGCTGCTTGTTCAAAATGGTGTCACATGGGTTACAAATCTTGAGAGAAAAATCACTTCAGTACATCTCATACCATGTGGCCACGAGTTGAACAGAATCATTAGTTAATGCAACCTCAGTACAAGAGGAGCTTATCCACGCATAATAGGATAAACCTTAGTCCAACTTTAATAAGATAAAACTTAATAGAACCTTAACTGAAAAGGAGTCTTAATACGGCAGGAATAATACAATTGTAACAGGCTACACGAAATTCAGCCTTCATTGAATGAGCAGTTAGCCTAACTTTCAGGGAACAGGAATTAATACAACCTTGATACAATAAAACTTAACAGCACAGAGTTCGTGCAACCTTAACAATACAAGAGTTGATACTATGTACCAAGTTAATAGAAGGATGTGTAATACAAACTTAAGACGAGCTAATCAAATCTTGACAGAATAATACATTGTAATGTGACGGTACCAGGACAAGAGTTAATATAACATTAACAGTGTGAAACGTAAAGTCAGTTAGCCAAGCAGTTAGCCAATGTACCTGAATCAAATAGGACTTAATATAACCTTAGCAGAATGTGTCTTAACACAAGTTTAACAGAACTAGAGTGAATATAACCTTAACAGTCAGATAAAAGTTAATGGCCCTTACCAGCACAGTCAGTTAATGCAGCATTAATGAAACAAGAGTTGATACAGCTTTAATAAGAACAGGAGTTAACGCAACCTTAATAGGACAAAACTTGATCCACCCTCAACAAAGTAATTAGTTAAGACAAAATTAACAGAACGAGAATTCATATGACCTTCCTAGAACAAGGCTTAATTAATTCAGGCTCTCTGTTAAGGGTGTATTTCGTTTTATCCTCTTAAGGATAAAACCTTAAGGATTAAACCCTAGGAGGATAAAATGTAATGCACCGTTACAGAAAAATTAGTTAACAAAACTCACCAGGACGAGAATCAATCCAATCTTAAGAGAATGAGTGGAAATGGAAACTTAACAGACCATGAGGTAAAACAATCTTAACAAAGGTTCACGTGACGTCACCAGGGTAAGAGTTAAGAGGACTTTAAACAGTGGTCTTTGCACGGATTTGCTGGTCAACCCTGGGACGTAGGATTCTAGGGGCCAGGTGGGCTAATCAATGCTCCAGGCGCTCAGGGCAGCCTCCCACAGCAAAGAACCACCTGGCCCCGAATGCCATAGTTACACAGTTGATAAATCTCACCAGAAAAGAGTACGACTTAATGGAATCTAAGAGGAAACATGGCATGTTTCCCTCCATCACACACACAGGGTTTTAGGGCTTCCTAAAAGAGAAGGAAACACTTGCTTCTGTGGCTCCGGCGGGAGTGCGTCTTATCTGCAGTCTTGTCCACATGCCCATTAGATGGTGTGACTCCTAAGCACTGCAGGACACAGAGTCCCAAGAAACTATCTTTGAGTGTCACATTCACGCAGCACATCAGTAAGGCACGTGGTGATTTATGGATTTACTTTTTTATGTATCAGTTGAAGGTGTGACTTTGGACAGAGAGATAAAAGGTGAACTCTTTTTACGGCTGTGGTTCAGTGGCACCGGGCACGTTCACACAGCTCTGCAAACCTTTCATCTCCCCGGAGTGAAACATGTCCCCATGAGACTCTAGCTCCAGGATATTTCCTCCCTCAGCCCCAGGCACCCACCTCTCTGCTTCCCATCCCTCTGAGTTTGCCTGCTCTGGAAATTTCCCATAAATGGAATCATGCATAGTGTAGCTTGTTTTATGCATAAAGTGTCTTTAAGGCTCTTGCCCCAGTCACAGCTCATTGTATGGAAAAACTGCATTTCTTTTTTTTTTTTTTTTTTTTTTGGGCCGGGGCTGGGTTTGAACCTGCTACCTCCAACATATGGGGCCTCCACAGGTGTCACCAAAACCCGCATTTCTTTACCTGTTCACATCTGGATGGACACGTGTGTGTCTTCTGGGTCTGAGATACTGGGGGGGGGGAGCCACCATGGACACAGGGGTGCAAATATCTCCTCAAGATGCAGCTTGCCATATTTTGGGGTGGAATTGCCCGGGCATTCCACCGTCAGCCCCATCGTTGTACATGGTGGCCTGGTTAAAAGCATGTCCCCTTGGCCAGCCATGGTGCACGTGTCTCTGTGAGTGTGGGCCTGACAACTGTTTCTCTCTCTGCCGCGGCTCCAAGGTTCTCTTTGCTGCCTGTGAGCTGGGTGTGTTCGACCTCCTCGCCGAGGCCCCAGAGCCCCTGGATTTGGCCACGGTGGTGGCCCGTCTGGGCACCAGCTCCCACGGCACGGAGCTTCTGCTGGACACGTGTGCGTCCCTGAAGCTGCTTAACGTAGAAACAAGAGGAGGAAGAGGTAAGAGCTTGTGGAGTTTTGAATGGGGCACTTGAGAGGCGCAGCCCACTTTGACTCACTGTAAAGGGCGAGATCAGAAAAGTTTCAACTTTCCAGGCTCTGGGGAGTCAGCAGCAGCTACTGAACTGTGCTATGCCAACATCAGAGCAGCCTGAGATGTTTTGCAAATGAACAGGCATGGCCATGTTCCAATAAAACTTTATTTACAAACACGGGTGGGGGGCCGTGTTCAATAGCACATGGGTTGCAGGGTGTCCAGCCTTTTATTTGTTGTCTTTTGGACATTGGGAGAAGAGTTATCTTACTAGGGGTGGGGTAGGGGAAGGAGGGAGTGGGGGAGGGGAGAAATAAAGGGAATGGGGAGATCACAGTGTATGACACACCTCTTGGGGGCAGGACACAATTATAAGAGGGATTTTATATGACACATGCAATCAGTATAACTTAATTCTTCGGACCCTCAATAAATCCCAAACAATAAAAAAAAAAATACACAAGATTAGCACCTGTAGCTCAGCAGTTAGGGTGCTGGCCACATACACTGAGGCTGGTGGGTTCAAACCCAATCCCTGGCAGCTAAAACAACAATGACAACTGCAACAACAACAACAAAAAAAATAGCTAGGCATTGTGGCATGCACCTGTAGTCCTAGCCATTTGGGAGGTTGAGGCAAGATAATCACTTAAGTCCAAGAGTTTGAGGTTGCTGTGAGCTGTGACACCACAGCACTTTACGCAGGGTGAGAGCTTGAGATTCTGTCTCAAAGGAAAAAAAGAAAAAAAGAAAGAAAAAGGGAAAAAAAATACACAAACATTAACAAAAGCTGATTAGCCAAAAAAAAAAAAAAAGGACTATGCATATTTTTTGTAATATCTGATACCAAAGATTAGTTAAAAAAAAAAGTCCTCACAAAATCAGCATGCGGCCCACAGGCTGCAGGTGGGACACCCCTGGTTTAGAGTTTGCAATGCTGGTGTGTGCATAGCCACTCTGAGGATTATCCAGAAAGTGAGAAAAAAGAATGAAGGGAAAAAATGACAGTGGACTAGTCAGCTGTCATTTATTACGAGATTTTTTTCTTTTTTGAGACAGAGTCTTACTATGGCATCACAGCTCACAGCAACCTCAAACTCTTGGGCTCAAGTGATTCTCTTGCCTCAGCCTCCCAACTAGCTAGGAATCCAGGTGTCTGCCACAATACATATATGTGTGTGTATATATATATATATATATTTTTTTTTTTTTTTTTGGTTGTAGTTGCCATTGTTGTTTGGCAGGCCCTGGCCGGGTTTGAACCTGCCAGCCTTGGCGTATGTGGCTGGTGCCCTAACCACTGAGCTACAGGCACCGATCCCCATTTGTCTCTTTTTAAATCAGTTCTTTTTTTTTTTTTTTTTTTTTTTTTTGAGACAGAGCCTCAAGCTGTCCCCCTGGGCAGAGTGCCGTGGCATTACAGCTCACAGCAACCTCCAACTCCTGGGCTCAAGCGAGTCTTCTGCCTCCGCCTCCCAAGTAGCTGGGACCACAGGCGCCCGCCACAGCGCCCAGCTATTTTTTGGTTGCAGCCATCATGGTTGTTTGGCGGGTCCAGGCTGGGGATTCGAACCCGCCACCTTAGGTGTACGTGGCTGGCGCCTTAGCCGGTTGAGCTATAGGTGCCGAGCCTTTAAATCAGTTCTTATCGGTGTTCTGCCAATACTGGGGATGACCTGGACTCCAAGGTGTTTTCCTTCTGTTCTTTTTGTTTGTTTTCAGCTTTGTATCAAAACACGGAGCTCTCCAGCACCTACCTGGCCAGGGTCAGCCCCACTTCTCAGAGTAACATGCTGCTGTACATGGCCGGGACGACCTACCGGTGCTGGGGCCACCTGGCCAAGGCTGTGAGGTGGGCATAGTGTGTGGTGTCCACAGCTCGGACTGCATCTCGGGTGCCCTGGGGGCTGGTGAAAAAGAGGGCATCGGGGGAGGAGAAATGTGAGCGCTTTTGTAGAGATGAGCGAGGCAGTGTGAGAAAGGGAGGCCACAGCAGGGACTTGGAATTCCTCCGTGCTGACCCAACCGTCCACTTAGTTCCACAGGGGTGTGTCACCCAGGGAAAGCAAGCTAAGCCACTTTGCCAGGTGAAAGGCAAGGAAGAAGGGTGATTCACAGCACGGTGACACAAGCACATGAGACAGGCTCCGGCTGTCACTACTTGTTCCGTGTCAGCCTGTTTCAACCCTGGCACTCTTGACATTTGGGGCTGGGTAGCTGTCTGTGGTGGGGCATCCTGTGCACTGTAGGGTGCTGAGCAGTGACCCTGGGCCCCTCCACCAGGTGCTGGTAGCACCTTGTACCCAAGTTATGACAACTGGAAGTGTCCCCAGATATTGCCGAATGTCCTCTCAGTGTAAAATGGCCTTTAGCTGGGGACTACTGTGATAGAGCAATCCATAGATAGATAGATAGATGATAGAAATAATAGCTGGATGATAGATAAATGATAGAAAGAATACATGGATGATAGATGGACAGACAGATAATTGGATAAGATGATGGATAGATAGATAGATAGATGATAGAGGAGCCTCCTGTCATGCGAGGAAGGGTTACCAATACTCTGCTGTTTTGATGTTGGAAGTCACTCAGCTAAGTGGCAATAATAATAATAATAGCGATAATATTGGGCAGGACCAAAGCCAGTGCCCAGCGACACCGGCTGTCTGCACAGTGGCCTGTGGCCCTGACTGAACATCCTTTAGTCGCTCACTGATGTCCGTTCCTTCCTTGGTCACCTTGCACCTTCAGCTCTGAGCAGGTGCATTGGTTAGGAATTTCTCTGTGTGTGGGTGACTTGTTCATATTTCACATTTGTTCCATGGGGGATTTAAGGCGGGCATGTGTGGCCACCTGCGTTGCACGCAGTGATATGAAGTAACTAAGTCCTTTGCCCTGTTTCTCAGAGAAGGGAAGAACCAGTATCTGCAGGTGTTCGGCGTTCCCTCCGAAGAGCTCTTTAGTGCCATCTACAGGTAATGCCGACCGCTTTGAATTTATTTATTTTTTTATAATTAACTATTTTTTATTAAATCGTAACTTTGTACATGGATGCATTTATGGGGTTCAGGGCAGTGGTTCGATATACAATGTGAAATGTTTACCTTGAACCAAGTAACACATCCATCACAATTATACTCATTTCTTAATAATTTTGAAATGTACCATTGCATCATGCACATTAGGTGAGGTCCCCCTGAATACACTGCCTCCTCCCATATCCCCTCTCCCCACCCCTCTCTCTCCTCTTCAACCACTTTGAAACCACCGACTGGGAGACGATGCTTACTTTGGAAGACTTACAAGAATCAATCAATGTGCTGCACATGGGACAACCCTGTATTCAGTTTAAAATAACCTCCGTCTGCCCTCTAGATTTTGCCATTCTGATGTCTGCATTGCTCAGATTCCTGAGTGGATACTAACTCACTGTTCCCTCCAGGGAGCCCCATAGGAACCCCACATTTACATAGAGAATGGAGGTGCTGTTTTCCCTTTCACTAGATGTCCCCTGGCAAGGCTGAGGCTCTTAGCTTCCCTTTGCTCTTGTGGGCACAACTTTGAGTTTGCATGAAACTGTGGTGTCACAACCCCGAGCTGGTGATGAAATGAACACATTCAGCATTTCTGGCTGGCTGAGGAGTACAGTAGCTGAGGAGTACAGTACTCCCCCTTCCTGAGCCTACTCCAGGTTTTCCGGAGTTGGTGAGCACTGGCGCCCAACATCTTAAATCATGTCCTTTTAGGGTAGCACAGATTGCATGGCACACACATATATGGCTGTCACACGTACTCACAGGGCCCAGCTCTTCTCCCCACAGTGGGTCACCATGTTGCTGCCTGCAGGGTCCTCATAGGATTTTGTACAATCTTACTTGCAAGCATGGTCTTGTGTGCCAGGTCGGAGGAGGAGCAGCTGCAGTTCATGCGGGGTCTGCAGGAGGTGTGGAGCATCACTGGGCAGCGTGTGCTGACTGCCTTTGACCTGTCACAGTTCCCTCTGATCTGTGACCTTGGCGGTGAGTGCCTGCCCCGGTCGTCAGAGCTGTTTCTCGCTGTCTCTCTGTGGACTGTGTTAGCTGGCCATGGCTTTTATCTTCTGGGTTCTGGCTCTCTGACACCTGCAGCTCTGCTGACCCTGGATGGGTCACACTCTGGGCCACTGTCCACCTGCCCTCAGGCAACTAGGGATAGCCCAATACCCCAGAGCCTGAGGAAGTCATTCACACCAGTCAATCCTAAGTCTGCCTCACTCCACCTCCGTTGTTCTTTACCTTGGATTGCGTGGTAAAAACTCCTTCCCACTTTACCTTCCCATTCACCCTGCCTCCTGAGCAAACCTGGTGCCCACATTATCTCCATAGCGTGGCTTGAACCCTCATCTTCTGACCTGTGAGTAACAAACCTTCTTTCCCTTTCTTGTCTCCTTGTGTGCTGGCCCTCTGAACCCCAAATTCTGTATGAATCCTTTGTATTATTTATTTATTTACTTACTTATTTTTTGGGACAGAGTCTCACTGTGTTGCCCTCAGTAGAGTGCCATGGCATCACAGCTCACAGCAATCTCAAACTCTTGGGCTCAAGTGATTCTCTTGCCTCAGCCTCCCCAGTAGCTGGGACTATAGGTGCCTGCCAGGACACCTGGCTAATTTTTGTTGCAGTTGTCATTGTTGTTTAGCTGGTCTGGGCCTGGGCTTGAACCCGGCAGCCTTGGTGCATGTGGCTGGCGTTGTAACCACTATGCTACGAGCACTGAGCCAATCCTCTGTACTTTAGACCAGTGAGCCACACACTCAAGCTAAGAATGGATTCTTTAGGGTTAGCAATGGCATCCTGTCTCTCCAACCAGAGATGACAATTAGCAGTGGTGCAGGCAACATATTAGCAGGTTAGAGGGAAGGTTTGAGGGGATTCAGGAGGGCAGATGCCACCCTCAACCTGGGGAATCTTGTGCTAGGATGGACTGCAGAGGAGTGGGCCTCTGGGCACTGCTGGAGCACCTTTGGTGGGTTAGTGTCTGGGCGCTGCAAGTCCCAGAAGGTTTCAGTTTAGGAGTGTGTGACAGAATCAAGGTCAAAATGTCAGAGTTGGGGCCCAACTGCTGGGCTGCATCAGGCAAATACTCTCACCTTCGGCACCATCCCATGCTGCCTTCCCACAGTGGAGGCTCCAGAATGGTGAGTTCCCATTGAGTACAGAAAATGGGAGCTCAGGAGGCCCTGTCCAGCAGGGGCATCTATTGATGTCGGCCCGAGGTGCTCCTTCCTCCCAGGTCAGGGGAAGCTCAGCTTTTAGAACAAAGCAAAGGTTTGGAGTTTTAGCTGAGCTACCTGTGAGGAATCCAGGACTCATACCACCTGCTCATGGGGCTCAGCTCATGGTCCCTGGAGCTGCAGGGCACCCTGAAGTCTGTAGGGAAGGTAAACTGAGGAAGCTTCTCTAAACTGGAACAACTTCTCAAGTTCATTGTTATCATTAGTTATCATAAGCAAGAGCAGGATACAGAATTGCTCCACTGGGGAGCAGCATAGGAAGAAAACCTTCGGCAGGCAATGCCGGGGCAGAGGGTCCTAGGACCCGGGGTAGACTTGCAGTGTATACTGTGCTGATCTTTGCTGTTCACTTGGCTGAGGTTTGCTTCTCCCCCTGCTGTGATCTGCCCTCACCCAGACAGGTGCACTGGACACAAGAAGATGCAGGTAAGTTGGCGGAGGTCGTGGGGAAGCTTGGAGGCGGGGTCAGACCTGCCAGGAAGAGCATCTGAACTCAGGGGCACGTGGATCATGATGCGACTTCAACACCACATGGGGAAGGACTGTGTCCCCAGCTCATATCCTACCGGGTTGATGGGGCGTCGGGGTGCCTGGAAGGTCATGGGTTCCTCTCTGAGGTTCCAGTGTGCTATGTCCCCTTCCAGGTGGTTCTGGGGCTCTTGCCAAGGAGTGCCTTTCTCTGTACCCTGAGTGTAAGGTCACCATCTTCGACATCCCAGAAGTGGTACGGATGGCAAGGAAGCACTTCCCATCCTCGGAGGATGAACGGATTGGCTTCCACCAAGGTGGGTGCCCCTGTGCTGGCTTTGTCCTCGACGTGACCTAGATGTGATCTCGGAGCTCTTGAGGGGGTGAATCCTCATGGGAATGGTGGGCATTCTGCATGGCATGTCCTGGACCCTTGAGATACCCCCTCATTAGGCTTAAAACTGCCATGGGCACAAAGGGGCATAGAGGTACACAGTTTTCACTTCCAAGGAGACCTCAGGTTCACTAAATATCTCAATTCACAAGGAACAGAGAAAGCCTGTCCTGAGGACGTGTTGCTGCTTGTATCACCTGTGTCACCAGGCTCCCAGGAGACACGGCTCCTAATGTTCCTCGTTGAGAGAGGGCAGGGACAGGGAGAAGAACGGCTTTTACACCTTAAAATAACGGAGAAACACATCAAAAGAAGAATACTACTTCACAACAGGTGAAAATTATCCCAAACCCAAATTTCTGTCACCCTAAAATGAGCTTTGAGTTTTAATCATTTTCTTTCTTTTTTTTTTTTTTT